TGCCTACCCCAGGGCTCGGCCCACAGTTAGCACCGGAGAGGTTTCCCCCGGACGCCACTGGGCCAGAGTATTCCGCAGCCGCTGCCACAGCCACCAAGCCCGCGGCCGCCATTTCCCAGCCGACAACTCTCCGGGCCGGCTCTGCGCATGCGCCACCCGAACCGCTGGGTGGGCGGGGAAAGGGGCTCGGGGACCCCGGACAGCTCTCGGGACGCGCTGGTGCCCCGCCCATGCCGAGGTTTTCCAGGGAAACCAAAGGGAGATCGCAGAGTTGCATCGGCTCTCTATTCCGGATTTCCAGCGGTATTTCTAAAAGGCCGCTACAAAAACCATCTTTAACAACGCTCCTCAGCACCCGCCTTCCTGCCTCAGTGTTGGATTACTTTAAGCAGCAACGATTCTTAGCACTGTTGCTGACAGAAACTTGGGCAGTTAAGAGGCGACTCCTTGGGATGTGCCCGAAATTATCTCTCCAAATCGCCACCGAACCACCAGATGATTTACATTGAGATTTGTGGATATACTATTAGTTCTTGAGTGAAGAAAAATACTGTGTGCGAAGAGTTTGCTACAAAGTCCCTAATTCTTGTTGAAATTGTTATGTATTTTAGATTCTACTTTTTATGAAAGCGCTCTTAATGAAAACAAGCGTCTAAATAGTATGGCTGTTTGTACAGATTTTAATCACTGCCTCAAGCAGAACATTTAAGTCTAAAATTCAAGTCTGCAACCAAAATTGAGAAAGACAAAATACTCTATAATGAAAAAGTGAAAATACCACTCAAATTTAAACTAGTTGGATCTCCCTAATATTGCACTCTTATTTCCCCAAATCTGTTTTAAACTCAAGCCATTCCTAGTATGTGATCTAAATTTCACTTACCATTAAATTCAATTCGCTGTGGAAAATACGAAGGGCTGTCAGATAAAGTCTTTTTCCTAAATAATTATCTAATCTTATTATGGAATCTGAGGAGGCCAGTTACAGTAATAGTTGAGGGCTGAGCATGAAGAGGGGAGGGTTATCTACCAGAGTTCACAGCAAAGGGATCTCTCGCAAGAATGAATGAGGTTTCGAACAAAACCTGGAGAATTTATGAAGTAGGATGGGATGACAGAGAGCAAAATTCCATAATGAAAGACCAGTAAACACATATTCCGGTAGATTTAGAAGCATGTAAGAGCATTAAGACACAAATGAGAAACTCCATAGCAGAGCATGAAAGAAAATATGAGGTGTGAGAAGTTATTCATCATTCAAGGACCAACTTCAGGAAAGCCCAGACAAGCACTTTCCGGAGTTCAAGAAGTGGTAAAAATGTTTCAATAATAAAGTTGATTAGTAAAGGCTGCTCAGAGAACTGCCCTATGAACCTTTTTTTTTTTTCTTTAAGATAAGAGTCCCCCTGTAGCCCAGGTTGGCCTTGGCCTTCTAAGCCTCGAGAATACAAAGTTAAGTTCCTGATATCATGCCTGACGCTTCATAATGTGACATTCTAGTTTCTTTTGCAACAAGTCCTACAATAAATTATTGTCTATTAATATCACTTCATGGAAAGTAATGTGGTCTTTGTCAATTAATGTTTATCAAATATATGCATTTTCTGTCTTTCTGAAATTGTTGTTCTTTGAAAGATGCTAAGCTTTCCAGGCATGGTAGCACATGCTTATAATTCGGGTACCTGAGAGATTGAAGCAGGACCCAGGTCAGCCTAGCTACAAAGGGATACCTCTCTTGAAATAGATTAAACTGGACTGGCAAAATGGCTCAGTGCAGGAATAAGCTTGTCATACAACTTGAGTTGTGTTTAACTTACAGACCCCATAGTGGAAGGGGAGAACGGACTACTCTCTGACTTGTGTGTATGTTCACTCACACATCACACACATAAACTATATAATCCTACAAGACTTCCAGATGTGCCTTTCCTAATGCACTATTGCCATTTCTATCCACATGAATTTTGACAAATTCTTAGTAATATGGCCCTTTTCCTATCAATATGCACACTCCACTGCAATCTCAACATACTACATAATCCTGGACTGACCAGATGTGTTAGGCTGAGGCTAGTCTGTTTGACTTGAAGTCATTAGTGAATTAAACTTGATGCTATACAAATCTCCCATATCCCAGGAAGATACGGGAGGGCTGACCACAGAGAACAGTAATAAGGAAGTGTGGGAAGCAAGAGAAGTAGATAATGTATTAACACCAGAGAGAGAATGTACAGGTGGAAATTAGAATTTTTCAGAACAGGGTAAGAAAGTCTGTAGATAGCTGGAAGCCAAAATAAACTAACTAAAGGGTCTGTGGATATGGGGAGAAATGAAGATGCTACACATGTGAGAATATGCTCAAGAAAAAAAATTCGAAGCCTGGGAAGATGGTTCTGTGGGTTGAGTTCCTTGCTACATAAACATGAGGACCCTAGTTCAAATCTCCAGCATTCAGGTAAGGAAACCCGGTGTGGCAGCATCTGAGTTCCAAGTCCAACAGAGTGGAGAGTGGAAACAGATCACTCAGGGTCGCCAGGTGCCAGTCTAGCTGCAGGTTCAGAGAGAGACTGTATTTCAAGAGTGATAAAGCAGGACACTTGACATCTTCACCTGGCCTCTGAGCACATACAGGCATACACCATACATACATAAAAACGTTATTTTAAAGTTATTTGGAAATGGGGAGTACAAAGGAGGGGGGAGCAAGAACAAGGAGCTCATCAATATAAGAGAGCTGGTGGGATCCTGCCTCAATCAAGTAATGGATGAATGAAGGCAGGGAATTACTTGAGCACAGGAATTTAAATCCTGTATCAGACAATAGTGAGATGTTATCTAAAAAAACAGGTATCCTTTTTTTTTTTTTTTTTTTTTTTTTTTTTTTTTTTTTTTTTTGGTTTTTCGAGACAGGGTTTCTCTGTGTAGCTTTGGAGCCTATCCTGGCAGTCGCTCTGGAGACCAGGCTGGCCTCGCACTCACAGAGATCTGCCTGCCTCTGCTTCCCAAGGGCTGGGACTAAAGGCATGTGCCACCAATGCCCGGTTAAAAACATGGGTCTTTTAAAAATAAAATATTTAGGCCAGTGAGATAGCTCCGGGAGCAAAGGTGCTTACCACCAAACTTGACCACCCAAATTTGATTTCCAGAAGCCAGGGGGTGGGAGCAAAGAACAGACTCCAGAAAGGAAGCTATCTTCTGACTTCCACATGTGCTCTGTGATATGTGTACGTGTGACACACACACACACACACACTTGTGCACATGTGAAAACATGAACAATATGTAAGATTAAATCTGAGTTGCACTGTTGGCTACTGGTTAGAACCTGTTGCTCTGGCTGAGAATCTGGGTTTAGTTCTAGCTCCCACATAGTGGCTCACAACTCTAGTTCCAGGGGATCCAATATTCTCTTCTGATTTTGTCAAGCACCAGGAAAGCACATGGTACATACATGTAAACTCAAGCAACACACACAGTCTTTAAAAAAAGTATTTTTAAGTTGTTAAAGGATTTGAGATCAAGGAGATATTTTTGAGATAAAGACTATTTTTGTAAAGATTTGGGGTTTCAACTATAAAGTGGAGAGTTCTCACCTTATTCCATCTTTTTTTTTTTTTTTTTTTTTTTTTTTAATCTGAGGCAGTTATCTATGTAGCCCAGGCTGGCTTCAAACTCTTGATTTTCCTGCCTCAGCTTCCTGAGGGCTAAGAATATAGACATGCACTATCTAATGCAGCTCCTCAATCTTCATAAAGTAGGCACCATATTGTAAGAAATGGGGTCTTTGTAGAGAGTTCATAACTTTAGTGAAGAATTGAAGAGCTGTAAAAAGGTTCTGGTCAAAAGGGATACAGAAATCAACTACCATTCTAAGGAGAAGCTGAACAAAAGGCAGTGGAGGGTTATTCAGTCTTAGGAGTTGCCAGATCCCCCTTCCTGTTTACTTTATAGGCTAAACATTAACTCATTCAATACTAGAGGCAAATTTCACTAGCTTTGAAAAGAGTCACTAAAAAATCATTGTGGTTATTACTTAAGTTTAAAAACTAGGTGTATTGAATCCTCTTTAAATTTAGGAAACTCACTTGGTGAATATTCAACAAATGTTTGGTCATTTTGTTTTTAGTTTTGGTTTTCCTGAGACAGGTCTGGTTCTGCCTGGCCTGGAACTCACTATGCAGACTGGAACCTGCAATGTGATCTTTCGGCCTCTGCCTCCCAAGTACTGGGATCACAGGTATGGGCCATCACACTTGCCTTTCTTATTCCTTTAATAAGGACTGATTAATTAAAGAACATTTATACAACCAAGTTTAATGCTATTTTCTTCTCTTTAGAGGTAAAGGGGTAAATGGTTAAGGGGTAGACATTAATGGCCATATACACTAAGTAAATAGCTTCCTATTAATCTTCAACATAGTATATATACACATTAGCATACCTCTCATGAGAGTATACTTAGAAGTCTACAATTTCCAAGCAAATCTTTACAGTTTCCAAGATTCCTTTCACAAATGCTGGGTGTTTACTGAAGTATCCATCCTGAAATGTCAATGGGGCTGGAGAGGGTTAAGAGTACTCACTGCTTCCATGGGCACCATCACACACACAATGCATATTCAGACATACAGGTACACAAACACACAAGTCAGTCTTTGAAATGTAAAAAAAACTGCCGGGCAGTGGTGGTGCATGCCTTTAATCCCAGCACTCAGGGTGCAGAGGCAGGCAGATCTCTGAGTTCAAGGCCAGCCTTGCCTACAGAGTGAGTGCCAGAACAGGCTCCAAAACAATACAGAAAAAAAAAAAACAAGAAAAAAAAAAAAAAAAAAAAAAAAAAAAAAAAAGGTGAAAAAACTGGGTAGTGTGGCATATAGCTGTGAACTTAGTTCTCTGAATGCTGAAGCATAACAGTGTGATGCATAGTCTGGAGAGGAAGGGGGAGATGGAGAAAGAGAAGGGGAGGAGGAAGAGAAGAAAGGGGAGATGGAGACTGACTGTAATACCACCTCCACCCAAACCTCTAGCTCCAAATAGAATCACCATTCTCAACTAAGATTTTTATATAGGCAAAACAAATAATTCTGAATTAATGGGAAAGGTCTACTGACCAGGTCTGAGTAAGCACCTTTTTGCTTAATATTGCCCAAATTTGGAATATATTATTCATTGTAGTGACAAGTGAACTATTTTTTTCTACTCTCCCAATTGCATATGCTATGTGAATTACATTACAGATAGCAACGTATTATCTACACCTCTAATAAAACTAAGCAACTGAGAACAACTCATGTATGCTTCTTAAATATAAAGTATTTTATAATTTGATAACTAATAAAGTGAAAAGTTTGTGTCTGTTTGAAAATACATGTCAGATTAGAACACCAGTTTTTTTCCTTGGTGTATTTGTTTTTTTGAGATGGGGTCTGGAATAAGCAATCTTCCTCCAGGTATATGCTGGAAACATTGGCCTTTCCTAATGAGCTTCAGTAACTTCAATATCAAAGCAATAAAGTAGGAATTATCATCAGAAGAGTAGATTTCCTGAACATGCCACAAATGCTGAGACAGGGATATTCCTGATTCTTAGATATCTGACATGTTAAATACCATAAAACTATTGTCTATATGGGAAGTGGCTGATTGTCCACTGAGAATTATAACATGTGAGACTTCAAACATGAATGCTCAAAACATGGTTCTCACTTTGCTAAGATGTCAAAAAGGAGCTAATGAAGATATCTCTAAAGGCTCATCTGGCTTCACGCTCTGTAATGTAAACCATTTGATTAGCTTTAATTCCCCTCAGTTACCTTATGTTGGAACCCCATGTTACCTATGCATGAAATGGTTAAAAGGCAGTTATAGAAGGACATCAAGAGTGTAGATTTCACTTCAAATCCTTAGAAATCACAAGTATAATCGATGCGAAATGTTCTATAACACAGAACAAGCTGAAAACCACAACTCAACCTTTATAGCTCAGAATAATTCATGTGAAACCTGTTACATTTTATTTGTCAAAAATGAACAGCTTCAGAATAAATCTAATGTAACTTTTCCAAAAAACACCAAAAAGTACAGTGTAAAGCACCTCCTCACTAAATACAAACTTTCATTTTGTGATGCACTGCATCAATGTTTTGCATACACCTTGATGCAAAGGAAAATTTAAGTTGCACCCTGTTTAAATTAAAAAAAAAAAAAAGACTTCAAAAACTGAACAAGGATGACTACAACCACATTCCAAGAAAGGGAATTTTCCTTCAACAAAGCATATTGTTTTGTTTATATACAACATGTTAGCACTCAAGAGTTTTAACTTAGTTGTATCAAAGGCAAAATTCACTTTGAAAGAAAATTAAATTACAATGCATGAAGAGCAAACATTTACTATACCAAAGACACTGTTTTTCAATGTACTTATGTCAACATTTGGGCAATTTTTAAGATTTTTTCCAAAAAACGGAATTACTAATACCTCTGTATAATAACATTTAAAACAACAGGAAACAAAGACTTTTATATTGTATTTTCACAAATTGTTCCAAAGATAGTGTTCATGCTCAGTTGTTTTTCCTTTGCTTTAAAATAAGCTACCAGCAAACCACTCTAAAATGTTTTGTTCCTGAACCAAATATAAATATTCATATTGGCAAAAATGTTTTATAATGAGTCCTTGGCCTCAATGAAAAGCATCACAGCTAAGGAGAAACTAGAGTTTATTTTCAAGTTCTATGATTGGCTTCCAAAAATCCCTTATCAAGTAGAAGTACTGGCAAATAACAGACATTGAGGATCAGATTTGGATCTTTGGTATAAGCATGGAATTGTTGCTGATTTTCCATGACTAGCATAAGCCAGTAAGAAATTCAAAGAGCATCAAAGACAATGGAGTCTAGGATGCAATGAAGGCGGGTGGGAAGCATAGTACTTTGTCTCGTTTTACAGAAGAAATCAACATCAGAGATACTTGAACACCCACTCGGAGACTTGAAATCATAGCAAAACAAAAGGTCAAGCTTCAAAATGATCACACTTGATAACCTGTAGCTGGGATATGTCACTGCATTTTGGCATTTTACTGTAATTCAAATTGTATAACTATGTGAAGACTCTCAGCACTATCTTGGCACAGCAGATCTCCAGATTAAGAAAGAAACCCTTTCTCTCTATAATGCCTGAATTTTGAGTGATACAAGAAACAGTGAGCCGGGTAGTGGTGATGCACACCTTCAATCCCAGCACTTGGGAGGCAGAGACAGGAAGATCTCTGTTGAATTCGAGGCCAGCCTAGCCTTTGAATTTCAGGAGAGGCTCCAAAGCTACAGAGAAACCCTGTCTCGAAAAACAAAAAAAAACAAAAACAAAAAAAAATAAAAATAAAAATAAAAAAAATAAAAATAAAAAAAGAAACCGAGTGAACGTGTACAGTTAAGTTTAACTTCATTATAATTTTTTTTTCTTTGTGACACATACAAGTAGATTTTTGTTTGGGAGGGTTGTAAATTATTGAACTTATTGAGCTTTAAAAAAAAACTTTTGAATATGAAGCAAAGGATTTTATGTCTAGCAAGTGTACTGTCAAAATACAGGATTCCATTCTTTTAAGAATCTGTGGGCACTAGACTCAAATCAGCACTAAATTAAGAGTATAACTATAACCCAGGTTTTTATTTTTTACTGTTTCCAATCCTTCGATTTGCTACTGTTTTTCATGTCTTCTTCATTTACTAAAGACAAACTATAAGGGTTTGTATTGAACATCTCCTGCAAGGCTCTGCCAGATAATTATGCAAATAAGCATTTCTAGCCCTGACATGTTGTGATCTAAGACTAATCCTGAGAGCCACATTCTTATTAAAAGTTCAGCACTAAATGCTTAGAACTCAGGGGGGTTTACTCTTAACAACAATTTAAAAAAAAAAAAAAAAAAAAAAAAAAAAAAAAAAAAAAAGAGCCAAGTTCTAAGTTCCATAAATCTTAAAGGCCAAAACTGAAATTCTCCTACAGTTTAAAAAATATCATTAATGACAACTGTACTTATTACCCCAGCACATTAATGATAAGTGACAGCAACATAGGGGTATATTCTTATTTCTGAAGTTTAAGGTTAACCATGGCAAAGTCTACAAACTGGACAGAAGTGATGAGATCCTAAATACCACACTCATAAAAAATAATCAATTTCTATATTTCTGTCTTCCTTCTGCTTCACGAGGAATCTAAGAAGTCAATAAAGAATTGCTTTGTTTGGGCCAACCATGAAATCTTTAAGAACAGATAGGTATATTCCCTGTTATTCTTTCAGGGCATTATTTATACATTAAAAAAAACCTTCAAAAATAAAGTTATTTAGGCTTGTGAATATTCTGAAGTAAAGTTTCTTGAACTTCTCTGACGAACTCTTCAAGCAATTCAACTTTTCAAACAGTCATCACTTAAGAGTTCCTTTGCCGTGGATCTATCCCACAGTTACAAAGCGGCTTCCTCCTTTGTTGAATGTGAGAGTGGCTCTTTGTTCTTTCAGTATCCCAAATCGTTCATTCAAAGTCATCCCTGTCTACAGAAAAGGAAGGAAAAATTAACTTGACTGAAAAAAAAAAAAAACATTTCCTTTATATGTGATCTAAAGATTAATAGTAATTAGTAACAGCCATACGTAAAATCTTGAATTGCGTGTATAATTTAACTCTAACAAAAATAAGGCATACATAATTAAGTTGCCTATCAGTAGCTCTAGAACTTACAACTAGGTAGTCCAAGAATCCTTATCTTCCCATCACTATAATGCCTACATTACATATTATATAAATACATGCATACTACTACTATTGTCTGTAACAGACATTTGATACTTCTATCTGAATTAATTTGTGGCTCTGCAAACAGTTACAAATTCTAGTGATTCCTTTGGTAAAGAGTTACTTCAAATGGTGTTGGCATACACCTTTGATCTAGCACTCAGGAAGCAAAGGCAGGTGGATCTATGAGTTTGAAGCCAGCCTGATCTTTACCAAATACGAGGCTAGCCCCAGGATATACAGTGAGACCCTGTCTCAAAAAAAGAAAAAAAAAAGCAACCAAAAAAAGGTATTTGTACCCAGAAATGGTAGCCTACTTCTAATATCCCAGGAGGCCAAGTATGAGACTATGACTTAAAAAAATAATAGAACTATTGTTATTTCAACTTCTGAGTATTCAAAATGAAGTTTTTAGCTGAGTGCCCTATAAAAATTCAAATAAAACTTGGTTTGATTAACAACTAACAAAATACTTCCAAACAGAGAAGAAACTAAGAATATGATCAAAATAAAATACAACAAATTTGTTTCTTTTTTTTCTACGTTTGGTATTAGAGACTGTACCAAGGACTTTGTCTATGATAAACATGTACTCTCTCATGAAACAAAACCAAGTTCCCCCACAACCCATTACTTCTAACCTAATTAAATACCAGAACCTTATTTCTGCCAAGCTGTTTTCTAATGAAGTGTACAACGAAATTCAACATAAATTCACAGTAAAAACTCAGAAAATTAATAAGATGGGAAGTCCCTCAATCTGATAAAGAGGATCTACAATAAACTTAAAGCCATCAGAGATATGCATTTAAATATAAAAACTATTTTCCTAGAGTTTGAGAGGAACTACAGACAGGCAAGCTGTAATTCTCAACATCTGACAGAAAATAGAAATGGAGAGGCCACAATGTAGACCTGAAAACAGCTAGAGAAGAGGAGTGGGAGCAAAGAGCGGGAAGGCCCCGAGTGTCCCCGCAAGCATGCTTGGGATTGGTCAGTATCTGAAGAAAAAAGGGAAAAGGCAAAACTATACTTTTGAGTTCAAGCTCAGAAAAGTGGGCAAGCTCAGGTGTGAAGATCTGTAAACAACTGTTAACAGTATTGCACACATGGTTAACCTTTTAATGCTTTTCCTCAGGCTTTGGAACACAACAAGCACACCAGTCCTACTATGCCTATTCAACACTGTAGTCAATGTGCTAGTCATTACAATAAGAAAAAGGGTTTTAACACTGGAAAAGAATTTAGAGAATAAACAAGTATTCATATAGAAAACCCTAAGAAATCCAGAGATTGACTATAAAGTTCAGTACTTTTTTTTAAAAGTAGTTGATCAACCAAGGTGTTTTTATTTTTATCTTTTAAAAATCTGTTAAGTATTTTACGTTTATGGGCACTTTGTTTGCATGTACGTATACATACCAAAAGAGGGCATGGGATCTCATTATAAATGGTTGTAAGAAGTCATGTGGGTGTTGAAAATTGAACTCAGGACCTATAGGAGAGCAGTCAGTACTCTTAACCACTGAGTCATCTCTCCAGCCCCCTAAAGTTAAGTAAACTTAACAAGATCAAAGAATACAACAATATACAAACTGTCGAAAACCACAGTGAGATATCAATTTACACTCACTTGCCACTATACTCAAAGTGACAGATGACAATAAATGTTGATAGGAATGTGGAGAAGTTTAGGAACCCCATATATGCTAAAGGAATATGAAAGAACATAGCCACCTCTTTGGGAAACAGCTTGGTAGTTCTTAAAAAGGTTAAATGTGGAGTTAGCATAAAGTCTACCAAAATATCAAATATAGCCATTGGCACTTAGAAAGGAAGGAAGGAAGGAAGGAAGGAAGGAAGGAAGGAAGGAAGGAAGGAAGGAAGGAAACATGCTAACATAAAAACTGACAAAACAGATTTATAGTAGCCAAAGAACATAAAAACTTCCAAATAATTAAAGACGGCAAAATGTGACATACACACGTGATGAACATTATTCAAATAATAAAAAGAAAATGTTAATCTGAATGAAACTTTAAATAAATTATGGAAGTGTAAGAAGCCAGTAAAAAAGTTCATATACTACAAGATCTGATTTAAATGAAATGCCAAAGTAGGCAATCTATGAGACAAAAAACAGATTAGCAGTTGCCTAGGGGTTGGGGAAAGGGTTAGGCCACCCCATTTAATTTGCTATAAAATGATTTTGGTTATCAGAAGACTGTCAATGAGTGGTCCAAAGAAGTATGTTTTTTGTTTGTTTGTTTTTGTTTTTTACCTGTTTTCCCACACTATTTATGTCAAACTGTAGAGGGACACCTTTGGGAACTTTCTTGACATCAGACTGCTCTCTTTTTGTCAAGAATGAGGGCACAGCAGTACGAGCTAATCGTGGTTTCTGAGGTCTAGCAAAGAAAAACAGTTTCAGTTAGTTTACCAGATAAAAGTACTCAAAATTTCTTTACACAAGGTCAAGTAAATTACAGCTATTACATTGTGCTCTCAAACAGTAAAATTATCATGCTGGCTCTTGATGGACTACTCTACCAAAATTTATAACTGCTCCTAGAATATCTTTTTAAAGTATAACTTATTTTTAAAAGTTTTTTTTTTTTCCATTTTATGTGTGTGAGTGCTTGCCTCCATGTATTCATATGCACCCATGTGTGCAGTGACCAGGAAGCCAAGGAGAGGGTGTTGGAGCCCCTGAGATTCAAGTTACAGACGGTTGTGATATGCCTTCTGGATGTTGGGAACTGAATTCAGATCCTATGCAAGAACAGAGAGTTGCCTCTCCAGCCTTATCTATACAACATGTTTACCAAGTTAAATGATTGGTGATTTCTAAGTCATGGTCCTTTAATTAAATTAACCTATGTTTTCTAGTGCAATACATATAGTGAAATGGTTAGTCCAAGATAACCCTGAACTCACTATGTATCTAAACCTGGTCTTAGAACTCATGGCAATCCTTCCTTCTGCCTTAGCCTCCCAAGTATTGGGACTAAAGGCCTAGTTAGTGTCACAATTACTCTTTTTCCTTGCATCTCATTTTATCCTAACTTAGACAGCATACTCTGAGCACAAGTTCAATATTTTTCACTTTCCTATTACATCTGAGAGGTTACAATTTTTGAAGGAAAGAAAGGAAGGAAGAAAAAGACTTACACCGGACACTGTACTGCTCCAGGGTTGTCAATGGATACAGTCAAAATTCCTCCATTTGTGGTGGAAGTACGCCATCTAGGATTCAAATTTTTCTTAAAAAGCAAACTTGTAAATCTTTTTTTTTTTTTTTTTGCAAACTTGTAAATATTACAGTGCATCCCAAGGAAAGATACTCATTCCACCTCTGCCCACCTCTGTCTTAGTGTACCAGCTGAGTGTTCCACTACCAAGATGAACTCTCAACTCTAAACTACACATCTGCAAAGGAGCCATTCATTTTTTAGATCTCTCTCTCTCTCTCTCTCTCTCTCTCTCTCTCTCTCTCTCTCTCTCACACACACA